GTGAAGCAATGTCCTCCACAACTAGACTGAAGAACAAAACGACAGCAACTTGTCTGTTCCCCTTCCCCCAATTCCCCAGCACTGTTCCCATCCCCTAATTCCCCAATAAAAATCTTTAAAAAAAAAAAGAAAGGACAACAAGAAAATGTCAGGACTGATATTCTCCCACCCATAGTACAAACTGCTTGTCAGATAAAATAATTATCCTCTAGTCAGGTCTTTCAAGAAGTTGGTGAAAGAGAGAGGGGACAGGGAGAGAAATAGAGAGAGAGAAAGAGAGAGAGAGAGAATGACAGTGGATAGGGTTGGAAGAGAGGGAAATGGATGGATAGATGAATGGATAGCTAACTAGCTAGATAGATAGCTAGATAGATAGAATTGTGGCTACAGGTACATGCTCAATTTAAAAAAAAATGCTGGGGTGCATTTCCCCCCTCTAAATGTCAGTTATTCAGCACTTTTTATGGCCAAGTGCTGTTCTTTGGATTTCACATATATTAACTCATTTAATTCTCAAAACATGCACTACTATAATTGTTCCCATTTTATAGATGAAGAAACTGAGGCACAGAGAGGTTAAGTAATCTGCCCAAATTACACAGCTGGTAAGCGGCAGGTGGTCTTGAATCCAAGCACTTTGTCTCAAGAGTTTCTACTATTAAACTCGATATTATATTGCTTTTCTTAATTATAAAAATAAAGATAGAAAGAAACCTGAAAATGTTCAGAGAACTCTGCCTCAGTGGGTAGACTTTTGGGCATGACTTGGCATCCTGGCTACTAGTGCTTATCCCAAACTCTGGTGCATGGTGAAAGAATTGGGAGACGGTTCCTTTAAAGGAATTTGAGTTTTTAATTTCAAGGAACATGCCCAGGATGAACCCAGCAAATTTAGAAAGTAGCAGTGAAATAGGTCCCTCCGCAGGCATGGAGGCCCATGGGCATCTCCTGAGATTACATTGAGATAGGGTGTCACAGCTCTGAGCACCCAAGACAGCGCTCCTCTGCCTAGAGCTCAGGCTCCAAGGGGAGGCCGAGGGTCTCTGGCTTGGCTCTCCGTGGAGAGTCAGCGTCCTTTCCCGTATGCCCCCTTTCTGGGCCCCATCTGTAAAATGAGGGAGCTCAGCTAGATGGTCTCTAAGAGCTCTTCATGGATTAAAAATATTCTGACTGCAGATTTAATGACATGGAGAAAATATACATGCCATATTGATTTGTGGGGGTAAAGTCCTTTATAAAACATTATGTTTGAGTTTTGCAATTTTTGTTCAGAAAAATACGTGTAGCAGAATAAAGGTATTGGTCCTCTTCACCCCTTTGTACTCTTTCATTCCCTCTCTTCTACTGGGAGAGGGTCTTCTAGCAAAAAAAAAAAATCACTGGGACTCTTTGTCAGGCAGAGGCTCTATTCCAAGGGACTGGAACATGGCCATCAGCCTCCTGGAATGGAGCCAGGGGTGCTCCAGGAGAACTGACCCCGGTGGGCAAAGGGTTCTCAGCAGCTTCAACCAAAAAGGGTTGAGCAGGGACCCTGAGGGGAGGAGGGAGAGGCAGGAAAGGATGGGACACCATTCAAGGCAGATCGTGCGTGAACTACAGTGCAACCCCAGGAGAGCAGCAAGATTATTTAGAAGCATCCTCAACACTTTTACGTGTTCATCATCTGTATGGAGCAGGACAGACTTCTGCTAATGGCCTGTGTCCTTCCAGATCTTAAGGACATGACAACACAGTACCATGAGCATTTAAGAAAGATGGCTGCTGGGGTCGGCTGAGTGGCTCAGTTGGTTAAGAGCTCACTCAAGAGTTTGAGCTCTGAGCAATGGCAGTTTGAGTCCTGGCCCAAGCTGAGCAGCCATTGAGCTGCCAACAGGTGGCAGGATGGCTCAGCTAAAAAAAAAAAAAAAGAAGAAGAAAAATGGCTGCTGTGTGAACCCTGTCTATCTCTGCATGGTTGGATTCTTCTGGGTGACCTTTCTTTTCCTGCAGTATGCTTTTCTACACTTTCTACAGAAGATACGTATTGCTTATATAATACAAATTGTGTTTAAAAACTATTAAAATCTTATGGAATGTCTCTAATATCCCAATATCAGAGTTGACAATAGGTAAGTACCTCAAAATTGGTCCATCGGGGAGGATTTGGTTCCCAGAAACTCTGAAATGGCTGGAATATTTTACTGTGGCAAGGGACTGCTTCTCAAAAGGTGCAGATGTTGAAAGGATTATTGTGCTCTCTAGAAAGTCTTTGAATTGTGGGTCCCTTTTCTCTGGCCAGAATATACTCCCTCAGGGGATGATTTTGCACAAACTGTGGTGAGATGCTGTCAGAATTTCTACCCATGAGCCTGGGGAAGGCAGCTGCTGGCATGAGAATCATGAACTTCCAAACTGAAATAGTTTAGTGCTCTGTGCCTTAATTAACATGCCAATAGATGCGACCAGTCCTAAATTAATAGGTGCTTAGGAAATGAGGTACCCTTGGGCGGTTCCAAACTTTTGGATGGCTGAGGTTTTTCAGATTATTTTCACTGTCTGAGTCTACATTTTAGAAAATCAGTCTAAAGCATACCCACCTGCTTTTCAGTCTCACTGAACTCTAAACAGTGAATGTAATGGATTTCTTCTTCCATTAGTGTCCTGCAAACTATGGGACCACTATATTACAGCTCCCCCTCTGTCTTTCTGTCTGTCTCTGTCTCTGTCTCTGTCTGTCTGTCTGTCTGTCTCTCTTTGTTGTATGGCTTTGAACCAAAGAAGAGCTAGTGACTGGGCATCTCTGGACCTCAGTTTCCTCATGTAAAAGAAGACGTTCAATTCAATTTCAAAAGTACCTTCAGCCTCTGAGATTCCAGAGTGGATGGTTGGTTGAAGGAGGCCTGAGCGTGGGCACTAGGAATTGTGTCATTTGATGGATGAGTCAGACTAGGGCGCCAGGAAAATAATGTCTTCACAATCAACACAAGGGCACAGGCAATTAAGAAACGCATTTAGCTGACAGCTTGAGTGTCTGTTCCATTTGGAGGATATATTCCTGAAGAAGGACAGGGTGACTCATCAGTCGGCTGTAACCTGACGAACTAGAGCTATCCAATTTCCTTTCTCTGATTCCAGGCAACCGAAAGATCTTCATTTGGTTTTCCAAGGCAGTTTCCCCAGGCAAGAGGGGGGCAGGTTATCTCTGGAAATTGAAAATTGACATTCTTTTGTGAGGACAAAATTAGATCACATATGAGAAATGACTGTGAAATTATATGAAGTAGCAGAGGGAAAGCATCCTTGATAATATTATCGTTATTTATTAATCATTCTCATGCTGATTTGCTTAGTAGCCTTTGAGCCATTTTTGTTTTTGTTTTTAATTTTTTTAAGAGCTAGTAAACCCTGGGTGTCTTCAGAAATATGGAAATTCTGGATCTGCAAAGCCAATCAGGTGGAAATCACTAACATTTACATAGTGCTTTACAATTTTCAAAGTGCTTTTGCATACAGTATCCCAGTAACTCTGGGAGAGAGAGCATATTATTTTGCCAGTGTCTAGTTCAGGAAGGCTCAGTATAATAGAGCTAGGAAGGATTTGGGCTGGCAGTCTAACCTGTGTACAAATCACAGTGCTGCTGCTTGTAAAGGGGGTGAAATGCTCCTCTTCCATCCAACACTCTCCCCCCCCCCACACACACACACAACACATACATACTATGCAGGATCTGCGCCCAGTGGGACAACTGAAGCAGTGATGAGAAGCAGAAGGCAGAGGAGAAACCCAAATGCCAATCTGTTCTGGAGATCATGGAGTTGCTTCTCTCTCCTCCTTCAAATGCTGCTCAAAGTGCATACAGCCTTTCCAGATGGCTGCCCCATGGCTGGGTCTGCTCAGCTTCCTTTAGTCCCCAGACTCAGGCTGAATCTGCTTGTTGCAAATATAGAAAGTACCCATTCTACAAAAGTGGACTCTTGGGGGTATTGAGCGCCTCTCTCTCCCCACCAAAAGTTTGGTCTGGATGTTCCTGCTGCGGGTGGCTAGAGACCCTCAACTGGGACAATCCCCCCAGAGCAGCACTGCCTGACCTAACCCACCTGGGGCTCCTGGCATCTCAGCTGCTGGAGCTGCCAGTCTCAGATTACCAGGGGGGAGAGAGGGCGGGTCTGAATCCTAGGACCTCAGACTCTCTGTGAGGTGCAAGACTGAGCTCTCCATCAGCTACTGGAGTCTGCAGCAGAGTGGGATCTTTGTGCCTAGACCTTTCCCATTCACAGAGGAAAGTGGAAGACTGTGCTGTCCGGCTGAGAATTTATAGAGGTTCAAGAACAAAGATGAACTGGCCCCATTACTGCATCTCCTTTTACTGGATCTATGTTGCTGCCTCTGGACTGAGGGGTAAGAGGCTGGAGGGTGGGTAACCATCTCTATTCATCTGGGGGCACTTTTTGGTGGGAGTTGGGGGGTGGGCCAGAAAACACAACCAATGATCTAACTGCAAGGAAGTGTTCCGTACTTCTTATTGACCGGGGCTGATCGCCAGTAGGTAGGGCATGCCAGAAAAGTAATCCTTATCAACCCAAAGCTTGTCCTTAGCTAATGCTGGATCACCCCAACTCTAATTCCCAGTCTGTTGTTATTTGCCGTGAAATACACATGACGCCGAAGGTTGATCTAAGTCCCTCTTTTTGTGCAGCTGTAGAAACAGCAGACGGGAAATATGCTCAGAAGTTGTTTAATGACCTTTTTGAAGATTATTCCAATGCTCTCCGTCCAGTAGAAGATACAGATAAAGTCCTGAATGTCACGCTGCAGATTACACTTTCTCAGATTAAGGATATGGTGAGTATCATATACTGGTGACTCTTTGGCATGTTGCTTAGAGGGAAATGAATAGTGCTTTCCAAAGCACTTTAACTGGGAATTTGAGAGGGGATAAGAACAGATAGCATGTGCAAGCTGGTGGAAGAAGGAGACACCAGGGAAAGGAAGCTTTCTACAAAGTTAATTTCACTAAAAGTGACCTAATCCTGGCCATTAACAGTTAGAGTCTTTGATCATCTAAAAGATGGTGTTACATATTATATGATTCCATTTCTATGAAATGTTCGAAATAGGAAAAATCATAGAAATAGAAAACAGAGTAGTGGTTGCCGGGGGCAGCGAGAAGGACAAGAGAATAATGAGTGACAGCTTCATGGCCATAGGGTTTCTTTTTGGGGGTGATGAAAATGTTCTGGAATTAAATAGTGGTGATGGTTGCACAATACAACATGAATATACTAGAAACCACTGATTCACACACTTTACCATGGTTAAAATGATGAGTTTTATGTTATGTGAATTTTATCCAAATTAAAAACAAAGCAAAGTGGTATTTTAAGATGGCATACATTATTTAGTGCTTATATATGTTTAATTACACAAAATTATGAAACTTGAAAAACTTTCTTTCTGTCCATTGGAAATATTTTCTCACTTTATCAGTCAAGTGAATCACCAATTGATCAACTTTCAGAGCAATTTGGGCAGTTGGTCCATGCAAAGATCTGATGACTTAAATATTTGTCCACTTTGCATTCCAAACACTAACTGAGGCAGTCAAGCAAGGGGCTAGACTGAAAAAGCTCCCATGTTTTCTATTTATTGAAAATCGATTAGTGCTCTTGGAATTTCTGTTGTGAAGAACAGAGTTCTAGAGATGGAAGGCATTCGGTTGAGGTGTCTGCTGGACAAAGTTATATCTGGGTTAATTGTGCAGGATGAAAGAAACCAGATTCTGACTGTCTATTTGTGGATCCGCCAAATCTGGAACGATGCGTACCTCACGTGGGATCGAGACCAGTATGACGGTCTGGACTCCATCAGGATCCCCAGTGACCTGGTGTGGAGGCCAGATATTGTCCTATATAACAAGTAAGTGCAAGCCAGGAGTTTCTCAGGGATAAACTTATTGATTTAACGGAATTTTAACATAATGAAAAAGGAATATTTAAAACATGCATATATGAAGTACCAATTCATGTTCTTAAGCCCTGAAAGTATGGCAATAAAATCTTAGATGATAAAATAATAGCACATAAAAGCTTAGAGATAGCATTCCCTTTTCAGGTAAGAAACTGTTTTAGAGGGTGTATTAGTTTTCTAAGGCTGTCGTAACAAAGTACCACAAACCAGGGGGCTTAAACAACAGAAATGTGTTGGCTCACAGTTCTGGAGGCTAGAAGTGCAAGATAAAGGTACTGGCAAGGTTGGTTCCTTCTGAGGGCTGTGAGGAAGAATCTGTTCCAGGCCTCTCCCCTGGCTTCTGGTGGTTGCTGCCAATCTTTATTTTTCCTTCACTTGTGCATCACCCTAATCTCTGCCTTCATTTTCACGTGGCATTCTCTCTATGTGTTGCCTATGTCCATGTTTTCCCTTTTATAAGGTGTTGGATTAAGTGCCCACCCTATACTAGTGTGACTTCATCTTAACTAATTATATCTGTAATGACTCTATTCCCATTAGATCACATTCTAAGGTGCTGGGGTCTAGGATTTCAACATATGAATTTTGGGGGGGGACACAATTCAATCCATAATAGTGGTGATCCCTGGCCCAAGATCATGTATCAATAACAATGATACTACCAAATTAAATCAGAACGGGTCAGCTAGAAGCTGACCTGTGGATTTTGAACTTTGTATGGAGTGGAGAATGCACCAGATTATAAGATCACCAGTGGCCTTTTCCTGGTCCCCAAGCAATGGGCCTTGAGTAAACGGGTAAGTAAGTTTTATGTTTCTCAAACTATGAAGTGCACACAAATCACCTGAGGAGGTTGTTAAAGTATAGATTCTTATTCAGTAGGCGTGGGGTAGAGTTTGACATTCTGCATTTCAATCAGCTCCAGATGTTAGTGCAGGTGGCTCATGGACCACACTCTGAGAAGGAACGAGATTGCTTGACCACAATTCAGGCTCAGCTCCTTCATCTGTTTTCAAAAGGGGTTTCTCTCTCTTTTTGTTCTGGAACTCAAGTTTCTGTGGGTTGGGAAACTTTGACTCAGAACAAGGTGAATGAGGGGCAGTTCACAGGGGCTTTTCTAACGGCTCAGCCTTCTAGTGGGCATGAGTTTTCCTTTTAGAAGCAACACTGGTGTCCTGGAGCCTGAATTTTAGTCTCACTCCTTACCCAGAGGGCTCCTCTAATGATTACGAACCCCTTGAATCATAGACCTGATCCTGCTGACCAATCCGCACTCTGAGTGGCCAGAGGAGTCTTCCACCTTTTCTCCAGCAAGATGACATCCAAGTGGTAATGCTTTATTACTCCAGCTGACCACTGCTCGCTCTCTCTCTCTCTCTCTCTCTCTCTCTCTCTCTCTCTCTCATCTCTCTGTCACACACACACACACACACACACACACACACACACACACAGAAGGTGAGAATGAAACATGTCCACTACCTCATCTCACCCACAGGGTGCAGGAAAGTAATCAGAGAACGCGGTTTACATAGATCAGCATCAGCATTCTATTAGTTCTAACAATTCTTCCTGGAAAACAAACAGCATGCTGGTTCTCCTCTTCTTCCCTCTTTGATTGACTGAAGCAGTGACCAGCTCCTACAGAAATGCTCCTTTGCAAGTTGCACGGTAACCTAAGTTAAGCCTACCCCAGACCCCATTTATCAGAGAAACCAGTTATGTGCTCCTGAGCTCACACAACCCTTCTGTGGTTTTGATAAATTCTGTCCCCATTCTCTCTCTCTTCCTCCCAGATCATTGGCCTTGAAATGTGTGAGTTCTGACGCCCATCCTTTCACACACAGAGCCTTCCACCACACTGATTAATCAACATTTTTCTGTTCCTTTTGTTTGACTCTTTAGTCTTCCTTGCCCTCTTGTCACAGACAGTTCTGTTTCAGATCCTCCCTTATTCTCCTTCTCAGTAATATCAGAGTTTTCCTATTTAGAGGAAACTCTAAATGTAGATATGGTCAGATGTCATTTGCATTTTTTTTTAAGCCAACTGAAATGAGAACCGAAGAAAGTTATAGGACTGGGCAAAGGAGGGACCCCAGTCATATCCACTTTTCTGACCCTGGTCCTTCTAGCTGAATCTCTGGACCCACAGAATCTTCTGATTCCAAATATAATATAACTACTTCTCAGAATATGGTACAAAAGCTTGTAGGCCACAAAATGGGCTTGAAGTATTTGGTGGACAATAGGAAACCATTACAAGTTTTGGGCTGTAAAATGATATGATCAGGGGAACCAGAGAGATAAAGCAGTGAGATATGAGTCATGAAGTGAATACATAGTAATGTCTTTAAACTCATCCTGAGTAGCTGGGGTGATGTCTTCAGACAGTGGGCTCCCTTACCCTCTGGATCCTGGTTGGGTTTAGCCAATGGGAAGCACCAGTGGGCAATCAGAGGGAGAAAAGAAAGTGAGATTAAGGTAAGGTATGCATTCTCTTGCTCCCTTCCCACAGAGTTATCTTTGTCTGGCTGTGTCCCTTGATAAAAAGTCATAACTCCTATCATGGCTTGATCAATAGTCCATCTGCCTTGCAATGGCGATAGTGAAAGTTATTCCCTAAAGGAAAATAAAAATTCTGTTAGGCATAAGTGTGCTAGGCATAAATGTTGACAAAGCAAAAAGAAAATTTATCAAGAGTAAATGATTATCTCTTAGATTATAGGGGAATGAATTTTTTTCTGTTTTCCAAATGTCCTATAATAAACATGTACAACTCGTCCAACAGAAACAAAAAGCAGCTTTAATGTTTTTGTGCCCCAAGTTAATAAAATCAGGTAAGCAGAGCCTCCCTGTGAGATTTTAGCTTTGACAGGTTTACCTTTTGTCCAGATGTATAAATCATTATACCTGTATGGAGAGAGTGACATTGGGAATGGAGGGGAAGGGACATAGAGCAGAGATGCTTCAAAGGAAGAATTTAAGAGAGCTTGGCCCTGACTAGTGACAGGAGATAGAGGAGAAGAGAAAATCAGGGTTGATACCAGATTTTTGAGCCAAGGGTGATAGGGAGAGTGGTGATCACCCATTGCCAAAGACACTAAAGTGATGGGCACAGGTTGGTGAGCTGTCTGGAGTAATAAGTTGGCAAGTTCTTCTAGCAAGCTGCTTTCATTTTCCTCCTCCAACCTGCAGGGCTGATGATGAATCTTCTGAGCCTGTGAACACGAATGTGGTCCTGCGTTATGATGGGCTGATCACCTGGGATGCACCAGCTATCACTAAAAGCTCCTGTGTGGTAGATGTCACTTACTTCCCCTTTGATAACCAGCAGTGTAACCTGACCTTTGGTTCCTGGACCTACAATGGCAATCAGGTGGACATATTCAATGCCCTGGACAGTGGTGACCTCTCCGACTTCATTGAAGATGTGGAGTGGGAGGTCCATGGCATGCCTGCTGTGAAGAATGTGATCTCCTACGGCTGCTGCTCTGAGCCTTACCCAGATGTAACATTCACTCTGCTTCTGAAGAGAAGGTCTTCATTCTATATCGTCAACCTCCTTATCCCATGCGTCCTTATATCTTTTCTGGCTCCCTTGAGTTTTTATCTACCAGCAGCCTCAGGGGAAAAGGTGTCCCTGGGAGTGACCATCCTATTGGCCATGACTGTATTTCAGCTTATGGTGGCAGAGATCATGCCGGCCTCAGAAAATGTCCCTCTGATAGGTGAGTTAAAGTGCTTTACTCTTTAAGCCCAATTTTGTCACTGGGGTTATGCTTATGCCTTTAAACTCATAACGATTTGGTCAGCTTCACACTCAACACACGCTGTCACATACTTCAGTTGCTGTCTTCTGTATCTTTGAATACAGATGTGGCTGTTGGAAATAAAATTGGTCTTTTGGTCTCCAGGTTGACACAAAAGAAGAGTGAAAGGCAATATAGTTTTGAACCAGTGGTTTTCAAAGTGTGGTTCCCAGGTCCACAGCATTTTAGAAATGCAAATTCTCAGGGTCCACACTGGATCTACTGTATTAGAAACTCTGGGCTGGCATCTGTTTTAACAAGGCTTCTGGGTGATTTTGGTGTACTTTCTGTTCAAATCTGAAAAACCCACTGGCTTATAGGTGAAGGCCTTGGTTTTGAAGTTGAAGAAATCTGTATTTGAACTCTTGACTTCACCATTCATTCCTTGACCAACCTTAGACAAGTCACTTAGTCCTCGAGTCCTTGCTTCATCATCCGTGAAATGTGTGTAACTGCTACCTCATGCATCATTGCTTAGCACAAAACCTGGCATATATGGTACGTACCAAGTAAACAGTGACTATTTTTATCTTTTCACATCACAAGGGGTCTCTTCTTGGGAAAAGTAGCAAACATGGTAGAAATGACGTGCTGGGTTTTTAGGTCTACCATCTAGCTATCTTTAATAGAATAATTCTCAACCTTTACTTGGTATAGTAGGTGTGGGAGGGCTTGTTAAAATGCAGGTTCCTATACCCAAAGAATTTGATTTAGCAATCTTGGGCAAGATTTGGGAATCTGAGGTAATTATAAAGTAGAGCATACTTTTAAAAATCTGCAATAATGAAATGTCCCTTTAAGGGTAGGAGTTAGACTGAGACTGCCATTCCTACCTCCTGTTTCCTTTACCTTCCTTGTTTTGAAATCGCTCCTAACACCTTCAATACCTACTCCCTGTCACCAAGGATATTACTCAGCGCCAACACCTCTGTCTCAGTGACGTGCTGTTGTAATACATGCTTCCCCGAATCAGAAGCTAGACCTAATTTGTAGTTTCTTAAAGTAAGCAATGAGGAGAAATTTCACAACACTAAGACTTAGAAATCAGTATCAAAGGGATATTGTAGTGCCCTTTTATCCTCTACTGAATCCAGCATTAACCGATATTCAGATGTTACTATATTGGTTTTTCTGGAAATTTCTTTCTTGTTATGTCTCTCCAAGCAAAACACACCACACACACACACACACACACACACACACACACACACACACACACACACACACACACCTTTTAAAGAAATAGACCCAGAAGGTTCTCTACCCACCCCACCCCCCACCCTCTGGTCCCCTTTCCCCCAACACTACTAATAAAGAGGAAGAGGTGTATTGGCATTTTTTTTTGGTATTGGCATTTTTATTACCTCTCCTGTGGCAGAAATGATAGACAGCGATGACATCTAATCATAACCTTATGTGAGGCAGAATCAATTGGCAGATCCCTCTCTCTTCTTTAATAGTACCATTCAATAGCGAGTAGGCTCAATTTCTGAAGAGAGGTGTCTTAGGTCATGTTTTAGGAATTTTGCCAGCATTACTTGTTCTGTTTCAGTGGTAATATTAAACATATCTTTTTTAGGAAGGGTGCACACAGATCTTGAGTATGTTTATTAACAATCACAATTTATTTGTAGCACCTATGAAATGTACTTCCAGTCTTAGAGAAATGTGTTGAAATTTTCTTCATAAGTGTAGCATTTGATCTAGGTTACTGGCCTATGGCCTTTACTGTATCAAGAAAGGTCCCATTTATGTTTAGTTTACTTAGAGCTTTTAACAAACAATAAGCAGATGATGAACATTATCAAATGCATTGTCTTCATCTGTTGAGATAATCATGTATGTTTTGTCTTGTACCCCATAAATATAGTGAATTAAGTTTTCTGATGTTGAACTAAACCCTCCTTTATCATGATAAGTTATCATTTTAAGACACCACTGGATTTAGTTGGCTAATAATTTTTTAGAAGTTTTTCAAATATGTCTGTAAGTGCAATGGCCTTAATATTGCCTTTCTTGTTACTTTTGGAATCAAGGGTAAAATGACTTTATGAAAGTAGTGAGGCAGTTTTCCTTCTTCTTCTATTTCTGGAACAACTTGCATAAGATATGATTTATCTGTTCTTTAGTTTGGTAAAAATCACCTATAAAACCTTTTGTCACTAGAGCATTTTTGGGGGGTGGGCAGTAGAGATATTTTATTAATTCCCATTTCTATTCAAGTGTTCTTTGTTTTCACACTAAATTTGACAGCTTATATATTTCTAGAAATTTTATCTAGGTTTTTCAAATGTATTATCATTCAGTTATTTATATTATTTTGTTTTCTAAATTTCTATTTTGTTATTTCTTTTTTTACGTCCTTTCTCTCTCTTTCTATTCCCCTTACCACCCTACTTCTGTTTCATGAGTGGCCTTATTAAAGGTTTATCAATTTTATTACTCTTTTCAAATAGCTCGCTTTTGGTTTTGTTCATTTTCTTGGTTTTTGGTTCTATATTTCATAAATTTGTGCCCTTATCTTCATTGTTTTCTTTCAAAATTTTTCTAATTCATGGATATTTGCTTCATGCAATCAGACATTAAAGGCTAATAGTGTCACAGTGTTTCCTTTTTGACCTTTCATGTTAATGAGGTCCAAAGACAATTCTGAGAACTGGCCAAGGTCATTCATTCTTTTTTGTTTTTTTGAAAGTAGACGTTCTTCACATAGTGATCTCAACAAACCTTCACAAACCTTTTAATTCAGTGCAAGGGACAGTGCTGAGGATTTCACATGTATCATATCAATTAAGCCTCACCATATTCCTATGAGTTCGATACTATTATACTCATTTTACAAAGAAAGAAGCTGAGGCTTAGTGGGATTATACAATATAACTTATTTCAGGACACAAGTCTAGCAAGTGACAGAGTTGGGATTTGGACCCAGGAAGTTTGATTCAACAGTTTATACTACCACTCATACAGCTTCCTTGGAATAAGTGTTTGTTTCTTGAGCCACACATGAGGACAAGTTTATGCTAACTGGGCTGTTGTTATTTTCCAGGCAAATACTACATAGCCACGATGGCCTTGATCACGGCCTCCACGGCCTTGACCATTATGGTGATGAATATCCACTTCTGCGGAGCAGAGGCCCGGCCAGTGCCACACTGGGCTCGCGTGGTCATCCTGAAATACATGTCCAGGATTTTGTTTGTCTACGATGTGGGTGAGAGCTGCCTTCGCCCCCGCCGCGACACAGAGCGGGACCACCTCATGAAGGTTTATGGCAAACTTCCAGAGACTAATCTGAAGACAGCCAGGAACAAAGACCTTCCCAGAAAAAAGGAAATGAACAAATTCTTGAAGAATGATTTGAGGTGCCAGGGTGAGAACCCACAGGATGCTGACAATTACTGTGCACGGTACAAAGTGTTGACAAGGAATATCGAATACATTGCTAAATGCCTCAAAGACCACAAGGCCACCAATTCCAAGGGGAGCGAATGGAAGAAGGTTGCAAAAGTCATAGACCGATTCTTCATGTGGATTTTTTTCATTATGGTATTTGTGATGACTATTTTGATCATAGCAAAAGCAGGTTAGTGGGCATTTGTTATGTAGGGATAAATTAATAGAATTCCCTGTGATCTACTCTAATAGTCTTCCAAGTCAGATTGATCTATCTATATTATAGCTATCTGTCAGATTAAATTAAACAGGATGTCCAAAATTTCATGGGGAGGAAGCTGGAGGACATAGAGAAGGACACTTTTATAGCCGACCTGAGTGGTAAGTGGCTAGCTTGTAGATCACACATTATTCTCCCTTTTAGCAGTGCAGATAACAAAGTACACTATATTACTGTTTAAAATTTAAAATCAAACAAACAAATATTCCCCTTAGTCCCTATTAAAACATGCTTTTAAAAAAGGAAAATAGTCATGTATTCCTTAATGTGATTAAAGTCTCGATGTTATCTTTCTCAAGCATGGTGCATTTCAAGCCATTTCACAAATGATGAAATAAAAAGCTCTGTCCTGATAAAGAAAATGTAAGGATGAACAGCTTAACGATTATGTCATATGTGTTGGTGATGTTTTATATAAACTCTAAAGATGAAATCGTTCCTGCATTTAGTCTTTGATTTAAATAAGATAATTAGCAAACTGGACTCATTCATTCATTCATTCATTCAATTATTCACTAAACATTTATTGAGTTTCTCCTACATATAATAAAGCTACATGATTCACCTTTGCGTTGGGTGTCATAGCAAGTCTTACGCATAGGCTGATCCCTTTTGATCTTCACAACATTCTAAGAGTTGGCAGGCAGGTCTTTCTAGTCCCTTTTCTCAGAGGAAGAAGCTGTTTTTATCCAACTAGGTGGCTAAGTTGGGTTGGGATTCAAACTCTCACCACTGTGACTGAGTTTGGGCAAGGTCTGCTAAAGCCCCATTGCTTTTGGCCATGACAGATTAGGATTGAAGAAAGGAGAGACTGAGGGATTCTCATTTTTAATTCTCAATTTCCACCCTAAATTACTTACTATGCTTCTCAACTTCTTTCCTACTTTCAATCAAACATGTCTTCAAATTCTCTCCACTCCCACCTTGATTAAAATGATTTAAATCCTGATACCCATACCCTAACTTCGAACACCTCAACTATTCTTTTACTGATTAAAAACAAGCAAACGAAAGAACAGAAGTGGAGAGGAGGCAGGGGTTAACCTAGGAAAGAGAAGATGGTATTTAGCAACATTTTCCATCAGCTCATTGCTCAGACCAACACTTGCCAACACAATCATGGGCAAACCTGGCGAATGGACTATCTTTGTCAAACTGGAAACACAAGTTCTAGAACGCCTTGAACAACAGTGGTGAGGCTATTTATAATGTCATCAGCTCCACAGGCTAGCAACATATAGACATTGTTTTTCAGTCTTGTGTTTACTTATTAGAAAAACATTTATTATGCAACTACTCTATACTGAGTGTTATGTCGTTTTTGGAGGAAGCAATTACATGCTCACATGTTCCTCACAGTTCAGTAGAGGAGACAGTCAAGAAAATAGACAAATACAATGTAGTGTACCAAGTGCTATCACAGAAACATGGATAAAATGACATGGGAACAGTGATGATGAATCCGTTTGAGGGAAAGCTTGGGAAAGACATTGTGAGGGTGTAACATTTGAACTGGGCTGTGAAGGATGAGTAGGAGTTTGCTAGACAGAGAAAGAAGTAGGGAGGCATTAGGGAAAAGAGTGTGAGCAGAGCTTAGAAGAACAGAGGCCTTGGTGTAGTCATGGAATGGACAACAAGGGATTGGGGAACTGTAACCTGGAATCAGAAAATTTTTCTTCTTTATTTTAATTATAGAAGTACTTTTATCAGTTATAGTTGCATTTGGCTTCAAATAACAGAAAACCCATTGGACCATGACTTAATGCAGATAGAGGTTATTCATCTACACAAAAATAAATCCAGGGACTAGAGTACCCACTGAGCAACTCCATGTATATAAGTTTTTCCATATTTTAGATTATCTGTTTGGAATAGATTTATCTATTGCCACATTGAAATGATCCTATTGAGCCATGCTAAAATAATTTGAACTTTATTCTAAAAACACTGCAGAGCCATAAAAGGATTTTAAGCAAGGAAGTGATAGTGTTAGATTTGTGTTTCAGAAATAAGACTGTGGTGGCAACTACAAGATTATAGAGAAAAGAGAGAAGAGGCAGAGAGATCTGTTGGAATGTTTTTTACCAATTCAGGGAAGAGATAATAAAGGTTTGACTCAAGGAATAAGAAAGCGTCACAAACTATTTATGATCTAGGATAGACAAGATTTAGTGACTAGTTTGATGTGGGGTTAGGGAGAGGGTGGCATTGAGAATAATTCTTGAGCTTTCTATCTCAGACAACAGAGATGAAGAATAAAGGAGGACTAGGTTTTGGAGGGAAGAATTCTATTTAGGACATCTTGAGTTGGAAATGCTTATAGGTCATCTCAGTGGAAATATCCAGTAAGTAGCTGAACATGTGTTTGGCACTTTGGAGGAAAGTGAAAGCTTAAAAAAGAAAGATTTTACACTCAGGTTAATTGTCAAAGTATTTATTAAGTGATTTCAGGAGGGGTAGGACAGAGTGCTACGAACGGTGAGAGACTCAAAAGGATGGAAACACATTCTTTGCCAGAATTACAGAAGCTTAAACCATCATGTGTCATAAAGCATTTACCTCGTTAAACTGTCATTTCTCCATTCACATGTCTGCTTCCCTAAGTATATTTAGTTCCTCTCCAGGCCTTGGACCCAGAAGCTCTATCATTAGTCTCTTATTCTTTGTGATAAGGATATTGTCTTTTTATTTGTTGTGCACAGTAAAGTGCCTAGTAAAAGGTCATTAGTCATTAAGCAATTGTTGAATGGATGAGTGAGTGACAGAAAGAGCTGTAGGCGGTTCCAACAAAGTGCTCTAGAAGTATAGACTGTGAAGGGGGCCTATCCTATACAATATACAAAAATAAATACCAGATGGATTAAAGACTTAGATGTAAAAAACAAAAAAACACCAAAAAGCTTATAAGAAAGTCTCAGAGACTTCCTAAATAAAATTCTCCATGTCGATAAATTTTAAAATGTGACTGCTATGAAAGAGGGGTCCAGAGCTCTCTGAAGGAGAGTAACAAAGGGAGACTGGTTTGGATTGGGTGGTTGGCCTGCTGAGGAAGTGGTGGTTAAGATAAGATCTGAGGGTGGGGAGGAGTTGCCAGGATAAGAGTTGGGAAAATGCCAGGTTGCAGGCAATGGAAAGGACAGAATTCAAGCTTAATGGCAGAGCAGAGATTATTATTATCTGAGATGGAGAAAGGGCGGCCTAGAGACAGAGAAATGCGATGGAATCAGTGAACTGAGGAGAAGTAATACAGGAAAATGGCAAGGTGGGCAAAGCCAGGTCAGGCAGAGCCTTGCAAAGTTTAATAAAACAACAGTGACTTGTTTACCGTCTGACTGTCTTGCTACATTGAGGTGTGCCTGGGTTTGCTGAAGTCCTGACCTTTGTTCTTTCTTCTTCTTTAGACTCTGTGTCTACTTTTCCATCAGCTCATTGCTCAAACCAACACTTGCCAACACAGCCGTGGGCAAACCTGGCAAATGCACTGTCTTGGTCAAACTGGAAACACAGGTTCTAGAATAGCTTGAGCAACAGTGGTGAGGCTACTTGTAATGTCATCAACTCCAGTGGCCAGTGAAGAGCTCTCTGCCTATTTCTTCCTTCCTGTCAGGTCACACCTTTGAAATAGGCACTGGCTGTTAAAACTTCATGAGCATGTCAATATATCCAAGACCCTCTAACCCTTAAAAAATTAAACCCTGTGACAAAACCTCCCCTGTCCTTGCATATTTCTATCTCTCTACTCTTCCCAGCCAAGGTTTCACCCCGCATCATTCAGGATGCCAGCAGGACATGGGTGGTGTGCTCAAATTAGGATAATTCAAGGAAGGCTGAATAAATAACTCTTTATAAAGATGTGGGCAGAATGTAGAGAAACACAAGGAGTGGTAGCAAACCCTCAGACTAGTAAAGCAGAGCTATTACCCCTCTGAGAAGACACAGGAGAGAGAGGCGTGACTTTGGCTGAGTGAATGCAGCGACTGTGTAAGGAGGGAATTAGAGGGCTATGTATCCCACCTCACTCTGCTTCTTCCCTCTAATCCCCCAGGGCTCACTGTTGACCAAAATCAATGGAGTCACAGGAATCTGTTGATGGTACCTTATATCTGGGACAGAGAGCAGAGTAGTGAAGAATAGAGTGTGGATCTGGAGGAACACAGGGAGACATCCGGCACATTCCCTCACTGTTCAACTTCATTCTGCATTTAAAACCTGACTTCTTTTTACCCGACTCAACTGAAACTGCTCTTGCCACCTTTACCATTTGGTAATGGCCCAATCTACTGGATACTTCAGAGGCCCCTCTGCTGCCTTCAGCAGAACTGACCATTTCCTTCTTCTTGAAGCACTTCTCTCTTATCGTCTGTGTTACCACTTTCTGTGTCTTAAATGGCTTATTCTCAGAACCCCCTGGCTGGCTCCAATTCCTCCTTTTCTGGTAAAGGTTGATGTCCCTCAGTGTTCCATCCTCAGCTCTCTCCCCTCATGCTTTTTATTGCCACATGTGCCCTGATTGTTCTCAAAACCACTTGTCCAACCTTGCTCTCCTCTTAGCTCCAAACCCGATACAATCTTCATGTCAACTGAGTATCACCACTTGAATATGTCACAGACCTTCAAATTCATCATGCCCCAAACAGCTCATTATTTACATTGCCACCCAAGTCTCCTCCTCCTCCTGTGTGTCTGTGTCATTTAGCTATATACCCATCAACTCTACCAGCCAGGCTAGAAATCAAACAGTCATTCTGGGTTCTTATCTAACCCAATATCAAACCAATCACTGATCCTGTCAATTCTCCCTGCTAAGTGGTTTTCAAATCTGTCCTCTTCTCTCTGTACTGCTGGCAATTGTCTTATTTCAGGTCTTTGTCATTTTTGCCTGGACTTGTGCAGTAGTACCTTAACTGGGCCTCCTGTCTCCAGTTTCTTCCCCTTCTATTCCATCTTCTTCACTGCTGCCAAACTGATCTTGTGACTCTTCCACCTAAAACTTTTAAATGGCTAACTAAATACCTACAAGTTGGATAATATGATACAGCAGAGATTAAAAATGTATTATGTATACTTTCTTTTCTGCTGCTCTAGTAAGATGTGTTCCTTTGTTCAATCCAGGAGTATAAGTCATCCTTTTTGGAAGAAAAAGTAACTACCCTATCATCTTTTGCAAGAGAAGTCATCAGACCTTTTCTGTTGTAAGAGTCTGAAATCTCTGGGAACAATTCGGGGCTTCATCATGAGAGGAGGTATAGTAATAAGACTTTTGGTGTTTGATGTTTAAGAAAGAAGGAGCAAAGCTGGCCTCCCACCGGGGGCAAGTGACTCAGGCTGAGCTAGACATACACCCTTACCTGAGACCTTGAATCTTAAAGTTTAT